TAAAAAAACAAATAAATAAATTTGATTAAGAAAACTTTCGAGTTCGTGGGTGCAAGTTTTTCTCATTTAATTTTCATAAAAACCAATAAAAAAAAAGTTATGGATACAACAAGTGACACGTGGTAGGAGTCACAGTCGAAAGGTGTGGCACACCAATCAACAAGGATCATGAACCCAACTATCGTTTTGACTTTTTCCCAAAGTTAGCATTATACTAGCCAATGAAGCACGATTAATTTGTTTTGGTGCGGTCTCTCGTACCGGAAATGTTCCAGAGATAGATACAGTTCAGAGACACCACTGAAACGTCCCCGCAATGTTTCTAACATATTAGGGACGTAGACAATTAACGGAACGAAACCTTTCGAATTTAGAGACGTTTCTCAAACGTATTATGTTAAAAATTAGTGTTTCCGTTGTTTGTTATATATATTAATTATTATTTTTAAGAAAAAAATGAAAATAAAATGTATAACATAAAAAAAGTTATTATGAAATAGGGTTTCAAATTTATTATACATCTCATATATAATCGACATTCGTTTTTTCAAATAGTCTCGATTTTTGACTCTTTACAAGTTAACAAGGTTTGTTTATTCAAATTACGTTATTCCGATTTTTTTTCTATCTCTAATACATTTTTTTTTGTAATTTAAACTTTATTGTTAACGTCAAAATAAAACTAATTCTTATATTGATTGAATGTTCTTTTATACTGAGATTTATGATGTAATTTTCTTATATGTATTCATAGGCATTTTTTATATATATCTATTGACGTATCTCTACCGTACCCGTATCCATAAATTTTTTGTATTGCCGTTTTCCGTCTCGGTACCCGTCCCCATTTCTTGTCTTCATACCGGTCTCAGTGCAACTTAAATACTAGCCAACGATTATTTTTTAGGTTTTTAAAACATAGTAATAATATTGATATTTTGTTAACTAATTAAGAAAAATGAAAAATCTATCACCTACAGAAAATGATGTTTAAAACAGGACCAGTCAAAGAAAATCTTATGAGATTTACCGAACCAGCGATTATGGAAAATGATCGAAAGTGATTGCTAAGACCACAAATCAAGAAAAATCCAATTTTATATACACATCCACAATTATAAAACCAAATTCTACACAAGAATCTTACTATAAACCCTGTAAAAAAAAAATCTACTAAACTTTAGTGTCCTAAAGCTTCTTCTTCTACATATTCACACAATGTACTACTAAACTTGTCATTTACAAGTATAGGAACCACCTCCTTCAAGGAGTTTAAGATCTGATCAATCCGAAATTGACGAAAGATCTCGACTTGAAAACCCCAAAGAGAAACCCCGTTGGAGATTCTTGAGAACTCGGTTTTATGTCTGTGTTTCCGCCTTTTACTTGAAGTATTGTCTGGCCAATCACTTGTCTAATGGACTCTATGGTCTTACCATCAACTTCATAACCAGAAGCATCTCTCACATAGAATGTGTTGAGAGCTTTGTTTCCTTTTGTTTTCACTTCAGCTCTTGTAACTGTAAGACTGTTTTCACGGAATATCCGAGTCACATCCGAGAGTAACCCGACTCTATCTGATGTACAAAGCTCAAGCTTCAAGCCCTAAAATATAGAAACAAAACCCCAAATGTTAAGACACAACAATATTATGATTCTTCTTCAAGCAAATCACAACAATTTTTTACCTCAGAGACTCTTCTTTGGATTGCTGCTTTCAGACATTTGATCACTCGCTGTCTTTCTGCTTCGGATTTGACTGGAGATCCATCCGAATGTCTAATGTAGTATTCCTGCAAAAATCCGAGAATTAAGATAATGGTATAAAAGACAATTGGTGGATCAAAATCAAGAGCTTAACTTGAAGAGAATTTTGCAGAGAGGCTAATAATGTAGGGATATATATACCTGATAGGCTTCAGGGCCTTCAGCATCAATGCTGGCATGTGAAACTACATATTTCATATCCGTCAAAGTGAAGACGGTGTCGAAAAGAAGCTTTGGTCTATCTTTGCATTTGATCATCACTATTGAGTAATCCAAATCATGCAAATTGGAGACATCAACATCTGGAACTACTCTCCCACTTTTATCCTCATCATCGACATTATTCTCCCATTCATCATAATCTCTATCCGCAAACATCATTTGATGAAGCTTACGATCCGTGTAAGTCTCATTGTGAGAAGAGGAAACCGTAGTTTTCGGTTCACGGAACCTCCTGCTGCTGCTTCCTCCTGTAAGCACATAACCAAGAAGTTTCCTGATTTTAGATAACCTCTCTGGATCAGTGATTGCACAGCATGTTTCTTCATCGGTGACTTGTAAAACCGCTGCTGCTTTTGCTCTATGCGTCCAGATTTCAGCGTTTACCACATTACATTGAAGGTCCATTAGAACAGCGCAAAGCTCAGACAACAAACCAGGTCTGTCAGTTCCTGTTAGCTCAATCACAGTAAAGTCGACAGATTGTTTAACCCCAATAGATGGTCTCATCGACGAAGTAAAGCAAGAAGACTCATCAGGGCCAAGAGACTGCAACAAACCAAACCACAACCACAAAGAGTTAAGAATCATATCATCAAACCTAAAACCAAAACTGAATAGATTCAAATCGCTTTTGACTTACTTTACGGATATATTCAAGAACGATTTCATCGGTGACTTTGTTCCCATCTTGATCAGTAACATTAAAAACATCCATGAACCAACCACCATCAGAGGAGATATAAGCTTTCTTAATAGTGAGATTAAGATCAGTCAAGACTTGAACAACTTCAAGAAGTATTCCATGTTTATTCGCACTATCCACCTAACAAACACAAATCACAATGTTAATAACATTTCTTTCTCTCTCTCTACACAGAAATGAAATCTCAGAGAAAGTTTAAGAGATTACCTTAATGACAGTAACATTCTTGCAGACTTCGTTATCGATTACAACCCTAAAATGATAATATAATCAAATTAAAAAAACTCAGTCTTATTGAAAAGATCAAAATTATGGAAGAACACAAAAAACATGAAATTATGTACCTTGGTGGATTTACTCTTCTGATGAACTTTGCAATCTCATCATCCATATTGTATGAATAGCTTAAACAAACATCTGAATCACAAATAAAAAAAACCCAATTAACCAAATAGATTCAATCAAATCGTCAAAGGAAATTACATGATTGGGAAGAAATTCCCAATTAAAAGAGAAACAGAGACTAAAACCCAGAACGATTACAAAAAAAAAAACCTAAAATTGAACAAAACCCAATCATCAAATCGGGAAAACAGAAAAACAGAGAGAAAATAACGAACCCATTATCGATTCGTTCGTGATTGCCTTGAAGAAGATCTTCGCGCCAGTATCAAAAGAAGAGACTTTCTTCAGTTTCTAATTGATGATTGATCGATGAATAATCCGAAGAAGAAGACTTTTTAAAGAAACTGCAAATTTGCCAGAGAGAAAAATCGGAAGAAAGTTTGTTAATTTATTTTATATATACACGAGTGGAGATTTGTGAAAGAGATTTAATAAAATGGAAAAGAAAAAAAAAAAGATTTTGTGGAAAACGAGTGGAGATCAAAATGGAGAAATTACTCACACTATGCTCTGTATCTGACACAGATTTAGCCGACACGATTATCCTAAAAATCTGCAAAAGAAAGAGTCCACAAAAACAAATTTGTGATTTTTTTGTTTGTTGAGGAAGAGTCTACTCTCTCTCTCATAAATACCCTTTGGCGCACGTTAGCAGCCGCCCTTGGTTTAGTAGTTTCTCTTTACTTTAATTGGGTAGTGAGTTAAAATTATACAAAGACAATCATCTTTCTATTTACCTCCGGTTTAGGAGATTTTTACCTTTAATTAGGTGGTGGTAGTAAACAAATTGATCAAGTTTTGATTAGTAATTAACGTTTCGAATTATGGAAGATTAATTGGAGTTTGAATGACGGATAAAACTTATCCTCTTGGGGGATAG